CAAACTCAACAGCTTAAGAATAATATTCCGGATAAGTATGAGGTCACAAGAAAAATGATTCGAGGACAAGCTCTTTAATAAGCTTAACAGTACAACATGGTGAATTAAATCAGCGAAAGCTTCCATGCAGAATAAGAATAAAATGTGATGAAGAATAACCCGATATTTTTCTTAACTCTGGATGTGATAATGACATGGAAAAATTCAACACAGAAAATTTTGAGGCTTACTGTGATAAGGAGTTCCAAGGCTTCCTTCTGTTTATTTTGCTTAAGGTAAATATCAGCAAGCATCTTGCAACTAGCAAACTTTATTCTGAGCATCTTATGTGGCAGATTCTGGAAAGGAAAGACAAGTTTATTATAAGATATTTGAAAAACACGACAAAGACCAACATAGTGAGATGTAGAAAAAATATAACGTTTAATATAGGGCAATTAGGTAAAGGGAAACATTAGCCCACATCATTTTTCTTCCAAAGGTAGCTCTCGAGAAGATTTTCTAGAATAAGTTGGATAGTATTTCTATCATCAGTGGATGCTTTTGATGTCAAACGGAGCAAATGATGATACAGCTTAGTAATACGGACCTAAATAAAAAAAGAGTTAAATAAAACCTCAGATAAACTTGAATCATAAATATGGATGCAAAAAAATTATAACCTCCTCAGCTTCTCGGGACCAAGATTTCCCTTTAACCGGTTTTATAAGGTCTTCAATGCCAGGAGATAAGGGAATTGCAGGTTTATATGGCTCTTTTCCATGTTTAACTTCAAGAAATTCAGCAGATGGACGAATGGAATCCCGGTGAGTTACAGGGGAAAGTTCCAAGTTTAAGTTATCATCCGAAGACTTGTGGGCACTGTCTCTTTTATCGTTTGTTGAGCGATCATCTTTGTAACACTTGGTAGTTTGAGCATAGGATGAATCGGACAGCGGGCTGTGTGCAGAATCAGAACGTTTTAATTGTAGCTCTCTGAGATGAGAGGCCTTATTCGGACTAATATAGTCCTTTGTCTCTACATTGAGCGCCTTGAAGGAGAACTAATGGAAAAAGAGCCATGTATAAATGGTAAGTTATGAAACATTTATTATATTAGTTAGTAAAAAACCAGGAGTAATTTTAATTTAACCGATATACTAAAGGTCTATTGAACCATAATTTTTTAAAAAGGGAAAGGCAATTTCGGGAGAGGAAAAATGGGAGAGCAAAATAACAATGGATCGAGAATAAGAATAAACTTACGAGAGACATTGAGACTGCTAGATAATACGTACATCCAATCGACTTTAGCAAAATTAGCTAAAATGCAAAAATAGATTTAAATGTGAA